AGCACACAGTGCATAATGAGAAAAAAAAACTTGGACCGTTTTTTTGGACTAAAACAGCAACTTTGCACTGTACTTTTGTATGGTATTTATTGTTGTATTCTAGTTTTCTTGGTCTCATTTTATAGAATGGAAGACATATTACAGAAATTGAGATGATTTTGACTGGTTTTACAATGAAAAGTACCTTGAAATTGAGCTCAAAGTAGCAGAAATGTTCGATTTTTACCAAAGTTCAAAAGTAAACAAATCATGCCAAGCGTCCAATACACATCAACTGGTGAGTCTAATATTCTTTTGCAAGTGCGCCAATATTATTTATACCATTTTTTACACTAATGCAGTAGTCTGCATAACAGTAAATCTTCTATTTTTTGTGAGAATAAAAATTCAAAGTGGAAAGAAAAAGAATGTAAGAGGGGCCTTGAGACGTGACTAATGAACAAAGGAAATGTCATTTTAGTGCCAGGAATGTCTTTCTTGTTTATTCTGGACCCTATTCGGAAATTGGCATCTTTTGAAATTTGTGTGAAATTGGCAAAATTGCTAAATTCTGACCACTGTACTGGATAGTTGAAATTGGTAAATGGGTGGTTTCTTGCACTCATTCGACAGAAAAAATGGAGTTCTAGCGAAATATTTATGTTTTTTGTCGACTAGTGCAGTGGAATTGGCCGAAAATGGGGCTCAAAGTGGGCAAAATCACCGATGCGTAAACATCGCCGAGACAGCTAACTTCGCGAGAGCATAATTCCGTAAGTTTTCCATCAAATTTCATAATTTTGGTGTCATTATGATCGGGAAAAGATTCTCTTTCTTTTCATAAGAAAAAATTATTTTTTTTTTTTAAATTTGGCCGACCCTTAGAACGAGTCTCGCAGAGGGCCTGTCGACCCTCAAAGGGTTAAAAGACAGAGAAGGGAAGTAACCCCAGAGAGGGCTTTACCTGAAGTCCTCATGGAGGGGGATTCTCCTTCCAAACACTAACCCCAACTCCCTCTCTCCTCCTCCCTATCTTCCAGATGCCATCACCAATCTTCAATAAAGGTAAGTAAAAATGTTATTTTATATGTATTACTATACATAATTAAAAACTATAGTATTTGTTGTATGTAAAACTGTAATTAATCTCTATAAAATGTATTTTTTGTGTGAATATTTTTGGGTTTCTGGAACGGATTAATTGTATTTCCATTATTTCTTATGGGAAATATTGCTTTGAATTTCAGACTTTTCGAATTTAGAACTAGCTCCTGGAATGGATTAAGTTTGATTTTTGAGGTTCCACTGTACGTATTATTATTATTATTATTATTATTATTATATGTATTATTATTTTTATTATTATTAATTTAAGGAACTGGAGCACAGATCCAATTCCCTGGATCAAGAGCCCATCACCACGTACATAATAATAATAATAATAATTATTATTATAATAATAATAATGATATAATAATTAATAATAATAATAACAGTATGAGGGGAATGTATGAGAGTATAGTTTTACCAACGCTCTTATATGGGTGTGAAGCATGGGTGATGAATGTTGCAGCGAGGAGAAGGCTGGAGGCAGTAGAGATGTCATTTCTGAGGGCAATGTGTGGTGTGAATATAATGCAGAGAATTCGTAGTTTGGAAGTTAGGAGGAGGTGCGGGATTACCAAAACTGTTGTCCAGAGGGCTGAGGAAGGGTTGTTGAGGTGGTTCGGACATGTAGAGAGAATGGAGCGAAGCAGAATGACTTCAAGAGTGTATCAGTCTGTAGTGGAAGGAAGGCGGGGTAGGGGTCGGCCTAGGAAAGGTTGGAGGGAGGGGGTAAAGGAGGTTTTGTGTGCGAGGGGCTTGGACTTCCAGCAGGCATGCGTGAGCGTGTTTGATAGGAGTGAATGGAGACAAATGGTTTTTAATACTTGACGTGCTGTTGGAGTGTGAGCAAAGTAACATTTATGAAGGGGTTCAGGGAAACCGGCAGGCCGGACTTGAGTCCTGGAGATGGGAAGTACAGTGCCTGCACTCTGAAGGAGGGGTGTTAATGTTGCAGTTTAAAAACTGTAGTGTAAAGCACCCTTCTGGCAAGACAGTGATGGAGTGAATGATGGTGAAAGTTTTTCTTTTTCGGGCCACCCTGCCTTGGTGGGAATCGGCCAGTGTGATAATTAAAAAAAAAAAAAACAGTAAGGAGAAACTTCAAAAGGCTGCCAGTAGTTAGCACCACCATCAGCAAAACATTGGTAACCACTACTAGTACACTTTTCACCTGTCTAGACTTAGTCTATAAGTACAGTGGTCCCTCGACCAACGATATTAATCCGTTCCTGAGACCTCATCGTTAGTCGAAATTATTGTTAGTCGAGTTAATTTTCCCCATAAGAAATAATGGAAATCAAATTAACCCGTTCCTGACACCCCAAAGTAGTGAAAAAAAAAATTTTACCACATGAAATATTAATTTTAATACACACAAACTGAAAGAAGACATGTACAATTACATGACACTTACCTTTATTGACGATCTGGTGATGATTGATGGGATGGGAGGAGGGGAGAGTGTGGGTGGTGGTAGTGTTTAGAAGGGGAATCCCCTTCCATTAGGACTTGAGGTAGCAAGTCCTTTTCCGGGGTTACTTCCCTTCTTCTTTTAATGCCACTAGGACCAGCTTGAGAGTCACTGGACCTCTGTCGCACAACATATCTGTCCATAGAGCCCTGTACCTCCCGTTCCTTTACGATTTGTCTAAAATGGGCCACAACATTGTCATTGTAATAGTCACCAGCACGGCTTGCAATAGCTGTGTTAGGGTGATTTTCATCCATAAAGGTTTGCAGTTCAACCCACTTTGCACACATTTCCTTAATCTTTGAAGTAGGCACAATGGATTCCACAACTGCCATAGGCATCTCAGGGTTAGCCCCAAACCCTTCAAAATCTTTCTTAATTTCCATACTAATTCTCACCCTTTTTATCACAGGGATGGCACTAGAAGCTTTCCTGGGGCCCATGGTGACTTTATTTTGCAGGTGCAATCACTAAAAACGCTGTGATAATATGAAATGTTCCGATTGTATGTTTGGATGCGACCTCGGTGGCTGGCTTGTAAACACTGCGCAGGCCACACGTGGACGCATCTCGAACGGAACGAATCGCATTGGTCGAGTTTTTTAGCGCTAGTCGAGGCAAAATTTTTGCGTTAAAATGTATCGCTAGTCGGATTTAATGTTATACAATGCTGTCGTTGGTCGAGGGTCCACTGTATTAGCCCCTTCAGGGTCCAAGGCCAAAATCTGAAGTGGTGCCCCAGTGTCCAAGAATTTAAAAAAAAAAAATGTTTTTTTTTCTTATGAAATGGTAGAGAATCTTTTTGTGAAGGTAATAAAATAAAAAGTACGAAATTTGATGGAAAATTGACGAAATTATGCTCTCGTGAATTTTGATGTGTCAGCGATATTTACGAATCGGCGCTTTTGCCGATTTTGACTCCCATTTTAGGCCAATTACATTATTCCAGTCGACCAAATTCTTAGCTATTTCACTAGTATTACTTCTATTCTATCGATTGAGCACAAGAAATCGCCAAGTCAACTGTTTCAACTACAAAATAAAGTGATTGGAAATTGGTAATTTGGCCAATTTAACACAAAGTTCAAAATATTCCAGTTTCAAAATAGGGTCCAGAATAAACAATGTAGATATTCCTGGCACTAAACTAACATTTCCTCTGTTCATTAGTTATGTTTTGAGGCTTTACAAATAAATTCCATTTTGATTTTTTATTCACATAATGAATTTTTATTCACACCAAAAAATAGAAGATTTACCGTTATGCAATATTGTAATAATTGTATAAATATCATCACCACATTTGTGAATGTATATTAGACCCACCAGCTGGCGTGTATTAGACGTGTGAGGTCGTTTGTTTACTCTTGAACATCTGCAAAAATTTAACATTTCTGCTAATTTGAGCTCAGTTTCAAGCCATTTCCTGTGCTAAAACCAATCAAAATCATCTCTATTTCTGTAATATGTCTTCCATTCTATCAAATGAGACCAAGAAATCGCAAATACAACTATAAAAAACACATGAAAAAATACTGCAAAGTTGCTGTTTTAATCGAAAATCTTGGTTTCAGTTTTTTTCTCTCATTATACACAGTGTGCTGCAGGATTTGTTTTATGTGGTGCACACATACCACATAGATGTATTCTCTCATATCTAGGCCCAAATGTACCACTCACAGTTTATCAGAGTGAGCTGAGCTCATGGCGTAGATCTACGGTTTGGACCCTGAACGTAAAGCCGTAGATCTACGGGACGGACCCTGAAAGGGTTAGGTTAAGTCTGCCCGAAATGCCTCGGCATAATAGTGGCTTTCTTTGCTCCAATTATATTATGATATGTAAACACACATTGTAACCTTTGCAAAGAAATAAATATTTTATTTATTTATTTATTTATTTATTTATTTAAGGAACCTCCCTTGAGGGGGAAGTTTGCATCCTGGAATTTCCTTCGTATCCGGAAGCAAAAGATCGACTGAACAACGGTTTGTATCCTGAAAAATTCGCATGGTGGGGAGTTCGTAAGCCGAGGTTCCACTGTACTGTACAATTTTAATACTCGGTTTATCATGCGCTCACTAGTATGGTAATTATGTGCCCCAAACATTGAAATTCTTGAAAATTTTTCATTGATACTCTTTTAACAATAATTTTGTCTCACACTATGATTGTTTTGCCATTCAAGACCATATACAATAATTTGAGATTTTATGATTTTTTAGCATGTACCTCTTTGTTCAAGCAATTCACAGCACTCACACATTAAACCATAAATGCAGCAGCTAAGATAAAAACAATGCTGATGTTTATATTCAAGAGTGACGGTATGATCATCAGGATCATCAGCTCTAGAAAAGAGATGTGCTTTACAATGAAAAGCATGAATAGATTCCTGTCTTTGAAGCAACACTGGTAACCTATTAAACAGTCTTGGACCTACCTAAGAAAAGGCTTTTTCAGCAAATGAGTTCTCCCCAACAGCACAATGCTCAGTCAGTCTGAAAGAGTCTGTAGCAGTTTGCAGAAACATTCTCAAGCCCACTGTAAATAGTACAAGCATATTAACAAGATTTTTGGCTCTTTAAACTTAATACTGAAGCTTTAAATGTTAATAAATAGAGTTTAAATTTAGGTCTTACCTTGATAGGGAACTAGTGCAGTTAATACAAGAAGGGACTTGTCAAATCTCTGGAGTGGAGTGAAAATACCAATCTAGCTGCATGATTCAGTACAGACTGAAGTCTTTTAACCCTTAAACGGTCCAAACGTGTATATACATTCTTTTAACATCTGAAAGTATGTAAAAAATGTAGATCTTCTTTTTTGTTTTACATTTGAAAACGTGTAAAAAAAACTTTTATCTACATTTTTTTTTGTTACATTTGAAAATATGTAAAAAAAGTAGATCTACTTTTGGAGTACTACGAATGTGAACGTCGATCTGTTTGGACCGTTTAAGGGTTAAGGAAGTAATTAGGCAAACCTACAAACAGTTGTGAAAGTCAATTCAAGAGGAAACAAACATGTGGATGAGAATGAAGGTACTCTGCATATCAAGATATAATCTGACTGCATAAAGATTATGAACGATTACAAATGTGAAAATTGCAAGATTTAACTATCTGGTTAATATGTCCTACAAATGACAATGAAGAATCCAGGTAAACACCCAGCTCTTTCACTGATCTCACAGGCTGCAAAGTAACACTGCCACAACCTAAGAAACTAAAATCTCTAATTTGTGTTTCCATGAGATTTCCACTGATTATCAAAATCTTTATCTCACCCTTTGAAGCTGTGCTTCTTTCTTCAGCTCTTCATACTGGAATTAGTAAATCATATTACAGTACTGTGCTTTGTTAATTGATGCATGCATTTTGTATTAGACATTTGACTCTCATTAAATAAAAGTTGCATAAATTATCAAAACTCTTAATGTTTTTAATGCTGAATGACCCACACAGGTTTAGTGATTACTGTAACTGTAAGAATAATGTTATGTATAAGGTTATGGCACAAATTTTGAACAATGACAGTTGGATACCTACCATATTACTTGGGATTTAGCAAATCATCTTTAAAATTAATTATATGTGAACTTAATGAGTCTTGTTTTTGATTCTCAACAGTTTAACCTGACCTGCCACAATGCATGGAAATCCCAGATGGCTCAGACAGTGTACTTTGCAGGAGTTTTAGTTGGAGCATTTTCCTTTGGTATCGTGGCTGACCTGTAAGTTATCCATGGTTAGGACTTTGTGCTAATAAATAAGTATTGAGAGGTAGGCTTTTCAGTGCACAGTTAGTGTTTTTAGAAGAGTAACTGATATGTCTGGTAACAGCTTAGTAAAACATTGAATAAAAATGGTATCTGTAGGTAAAAGGAGAGGTGAGAGTAAACAAAATGAAAAGGGTGCTTTAAGAGAGAGGTTTGAATAATTGCTTTGGAAAAAGAACAGTAAGTTGAGAAACCTTTATAAAAAAATTTTAAAAGAAAAATTGTGAGATGCTGAATATAACCATAGAAATATTGAAAAGATGGAGATATAATTTTAAGAAACTTTGGGAATGTAGATGATATGAAGGTTAAACGTGCATGCCTAGATCAAGGAACAATGAGGTCTATAAGAATACAGTACTGTATATGAAATACCTGGGCCTTGGACTTCCAACAGGCTTGTGTGAGCATGTTAGATAGGAGTAAGTGAAGGAAAGCCTTTTATGTGATTTAATGTGCTGTTGAAGTGTGAGCAGTATAACATTTGTGAGAAGATTCAGGAAACCAGTTAGCTTGGAGGTGGGAAGAACATTGCATGCACTCTGAAGGAGGGGTAGGGATGTTGTAATTCAAAGGGTTATTTGAGACGGATGTTTCTGTCCAACTTTGACCATAAATTAGTTACAGAGAGAACACAAAGGGAAGGGTGCCAGAATATTTATAAGAGGGAGGGAGAGGAGAGGTAGAATGAGAGAGAAATATAATATAGTAATAGTGGTGGTAGTAATGATGTTGGTGTGGTGGTAGTAGTAGAAGTACATGTATAGTAGTAATAGTATTTTAGTAGGAGTATAGTAGTAGTATAGCAGTAGTAGTGCAACAGTGCTGGAGGTGGCAATAAGAAAGTAGTAGTTTTGGTACTGAAAAAAAGGGACAGAGAGTGGATTACTGTTGACAAGTAGAGCAAAATGGTCATTAGGAGCCTTAGAACCTGAAACCTTCATCAATTTTGTGTATATAAAGTTTTTTTTTGCTGGTACTGTATCTGTCTTCCCAGTGTCATCTAAGCTGAATGCTAACTGCTATGTGTAGACAATCTTCAGTAATTTCCTGTAATCTTTCCTAATAATATTCATATGTGGTGGCATCATCATGCATGTTACTCCTTATAACTCTTGAAACCCATCTTCAACTAAATAAAGCTTTCCATTATTGCACATTCACTTGCCATCCCTCAAACAGATTCTTGTTTTTTTCTTTTAATTACAACATCCAAACACTTAGTCATACCATGGTCTTTATTCAACCTCTTTGGCTATAAGATAATTTAGAAACATTGAGCTGCATTAATTGAGTATTAGCTTTATTTTTATCTTTACAAAGAGGGATGGTGCACATTGTAGAAGTTGACAGACTTAAAGCTTTGGTGATGCCACCTAATTTTTCACCATGATCAAATTGACATAAAATATAATTTGTTCTACCATAATATTCCTTCTGGGCTTTCCATCACTGAATTTATTACTCTATGGCCAAGTAGAACTCATTTTGGATGTGATGGAGTGTAAATGAACATTTTATCAAGCTAAAATAACAGACTTTTAACTACTCAAAACAAATGATAGGAGGGTATCTTATGTGTCTATACTGATCAGATTGGTATGCAAGATGAGAACTGTATGCCACCCTAAGCCCAGAGAGTAACATCATGTTAATGCTTCCTAAGCCAGATCACACTTTTAATGTATAAGTTTGTTCTCTGCCACATGCTCCATTTCTTTATGTGGTTGGTGGTCCATGGGTGTGCTTGCCAAGGTGGGCTGATATAGAGGTAATTTTGTGCTAGAGCTTTCTCAGAGTTCTGTATCATTAAAGTGTGTATTTCAGGACTGGACGCAGAGTAACAATAATGATTGTAATCATTATTATGGCGGTTTCTGGAATAACTATAGCCCTTGTTCCTGGTCTGACAACATTCAATGTTTTACGCTTCATTAATGCAATGGCCACTACTGGTTTATTTCAGACAAGTTTTGTTTTAGGCAAGTATGAAATTTTGTTACTTTATTATTTGAGCATTCAAGTTACAGTGGTGTATTTAGTGCTGAAGAAATGAAAATCTTATAAAAATGTTACAAAATGGCTGAATATAACTATAATATATTATGAAGTAAATAACATTTGTAAAAACTATCTCAGGGATGGAATTCGTGGGTCCAAGTAAACGTGTGATGTGTGGGATCATAGGGGAGTATTTCTTTGCTCTCGGAGAAGTGCTGCTCGGGCTGATAGCTTGGTGGCTGAAAGACTGGCGGATGATACAGCTACTAATATCTGCCCCAGTGTCCTGCTTTATTTTCTACTGGTGGTGAGATTACTTAACCATGTACAAGCAGAACTTCTGTCTTGAAAATTTTATATGAATTGTTTAATATATTTTTCAGTGGTTAAAGTAAATTAATAGTATTGTACATGGTAAGCACACTACAGTGGACCTCCAGTTTTCGTACAGTCCGCTTATTGTACAATTTGGTTTTAGAACACCTTTTGGGGCAAAATTTTGGTCCAGTTTTTGTACCTCAGTCCAGAAATCGTATGTATCATACGCGTCTGCCCGCACAGGAACTCTATCAGTCTGGCTTTGTCACTAGTCGAGTGAGCATTAAGCTGAAACATTTTGCATTTTTGTGCTTGTATATTGATTGCAACTGCAAAATAAGCCACCATGGGCCCAAAGAGAGTTCTTAGTGCCAGCCCTATGGTAAAGAAGGTGAGAAAAACGATAGAATTCAAGAAAGAGATTGTAGAAAAATACGAAAGTTGCATATGTTCAGCCAAGCTTGCCAGGATGTATGTGTCCATTAGAAGGATTTTGGAGGGTTTGAGGCTGACCCTGTCGACCCTACACCTGTTGTGGAATGTATTGTCTTTGGGGAAGTCCATGGGGTTAGATGTGAGTGGCCAGGATGTGGAAGAGTTAGTGGAGGACCACAGTGAGGAGCTACCCACTAAAGAGCTGCAAGAGCTTCATCTGGAACAGCAACAGACCACAGCTGAGAAAATTGCTTCAGAGGAGGAGGAAGAGAGAGGGAAGAAGGTGCCTTCTTCAGTGATTAAGAACATGTGTGCAAAGTGGAATGAGTTGCAAACTTTTGTTGAAAAATATCACCCTGACAAAGCCGATACAAGCCGTATCTGCAACATGTTCAACATGTTCATTAAAATTAGACATTTACATTTATTTCTCATTGTTTTCTGTATGTAAAACTTTAGTTATTCTTTAAAAAATGTATTTTTTGGTGTCTGGAATGGATGTATCTACATTATTTGTTACGGGTAATATTAATTCGGTTTTCGTACCTTCGGTTTTAGAATGACCTTCTGGAACGGATTAAGTATGAAAACTGGAGTTCCACTGTACAGTGGACCCCCGCCTTACGATATTAATCCATTCCTGAGAGCTCATCGTAAGCCGAATTATCGTAAGGTGAATTAGTTTTCCCCATAAGAAATAATGGAAATCAAATTAATCCGTGCAAGACACCCCAAAGTATGAAAAATAAATTTTTTTACCACATGAAATATTAATTTTAATACACACAAACTGAAGAAGGCATGCACAATTACTACTCTACTAAGAATAGAATACATGACACTTATCTTTATTGAAGATCTGGTGATGATTGTTGGGATGAGAGGAGGGGAGAGTGTGGAAGTTGTTATTGTTTAGAAGGGGAATCCCCTTCCATTAGGACTTGAGGTATCAAGTCCTTTTCTGGGGTTACTTCCCTTCTTCTTTTAATGCCACTAGGACCAGCTTGAGAGTCACTGGACCTCTGTCGCACAACAAATCTGTCCATAGAGGTCTGTACCTCCTATTCCTTTAAGACTTTCCTAAAATGGGCCATAACAGTGTCATTGTAATAGTCACCAGCACGGCTTGCAGTAGCTGTGTCAGGGTGATTTTCATCCACAAAGGTTTGCAGTTCAACCCACTTTGCACACATTTCCTTAGTCTTTGAAGTAGGCAACTTCCTCAATTTCTCTCTCCCCTCTTCTGAAGCAGTTTCCTCAGGTCTGGCCTCTTGCTGTTGAAGATGATCTTGCAGCTCTTCAGTGGTTAGTTCTTCATTGTCCTCCTCCACCAACTCTTCCACATCCTCCCCACTAACCTCCAACCGCATGGACTTTCCCAATGCCACAATAGATTCCACAACTGGCATAGGCTCCTGAGGGTTAGCCCCAAACACTTCAAAATCCCTTTCTTCTACACATTGTGGCCACAGTTTCTTCCAAGCAGAGTTCAAGGTCCTCTTAGTCACTCCCTCCCACGCCTTACCTATAAGGTTTACACAACTGAGGATGCTAAAGTGATCTTTCCATAACTCTCTTAGAGTCAATCGAGTGTCTGAGGTCACTTCAAAGCACTTTTGAAACAGCTTTTGTGTAGAGTTTTTTGAAGTTTGAAATGACCTGCTGGTCCATGGGCTGCAGGAGAGGAGTGGTATTAGGAGGCAAAAACTTGACCTTAATAAACTCATGTCCCTAGAAAGTCGCTCTGCCAAGTCTGAAGGATGACCAGGAGCATTGTCTAATACCAAGAGGCACTGAAGATCCAGTTTCTTTCCATTAGGTAATTTTTCACATTGGGGGCAAATGCATGGTGTAACCAGTCATAGAAAAGGTCCCTAGTGACCCATGCCTTACTGTTTGCCCTCCACATCACACACAAATTAGCCTTGATGACATTGTTTTTCCTGAACACTTTGGGAGATTCAGAGTGATACACTAATAAAGGCTTCACTTTGCAATCACCACTAGCATTAGCACACATCAGAAGAGTAAGCCTGTCTTTCATAGGCTTATGTCCTGGGAGTGCCTTTTCCTCCTGAGTAATGTAGGTCCTGCTTGGCATTTTCTTCCAAAACAGGCCTGTTTCGTCACAATTAAACACTTGTTCAGGTTGCAATTCTTCACTGTCTATGTAATCCTTGAATTCCTTCACATATTTTTCAGCCGCTTTTTGGTCCGAACTGGCAGTCTCACCATGCCTTATCACACTATGTATGCCACTACGATTCTTAAATCTCTCAAACCAACCTTTGTTGGCCTTAAATTCACCCACATCACCACTAGTTGCAGGCATTTTTCTAATTAAATCATCATGCAACTTCCTAGCCTTTTCACATATGATCGCTTGAGAGATGCTATCTCCTGCTATCTGTTTTTCGTTTATCTACGCCAATAACAGTCTCTCAACATCTTCTATCACTTGTGATCTCTATTTCGAAAACTAACTTGCACCTTTTGCAAGAACAGCTTCCTTGATTGCCGTTTTGTTGGCCACAATAGTAGCGATGATTGATTGGGATTTGGTATACAACCTGGCCAGCTCCGAGACACGCACTCCAATTTCGTACTTAGCAATTATTTCTTTCTTCATTTCCATAGTAATTTTCACCCTTTTTTCCACAGGGTTGGCACTAGAAGCTTTCTTGGGGCCCATGGTGACTTATTTTGCAGCTATAATCACTAAAAAACACTGATAATATGTAATGTGCCAAATGTATGTGTGAATGTGACTGCACTGGCTGGCTTGCAAACACTGGCATGCATGAGGCAGCTGAGGCCACGCGTGGGACACGTCCCGGACAAATCGCGTGAGGCGAGGCAAAATTTTTGCTTTAAAATGTATCGTATGGCGGATTTAACGTAACGCGATGCCATCGTAAGGTGGGGGTCCACTGTATTTCCTTTTCTAAAATAAATTTTCTTTGTGAATTATTTTGGTGATTATCTATGGTTTTGTGAATTATTCTTGGTTCCAATAACTTTTGTGTTTTTCAGGTTTATTCCTGAATCTCCACGGTGGCTACATGCTCAAGGAAAAGATCGGAAACTTGTAGCTGTTCTGGAGAAGGTTGCAAAAGGAAATAACAAAACATTTTCCCCTCTGTTTTGGGTATATATTTTTGTCATTGTACACTAATCAGTAATTTTTATGTTTTATAATTATAAAACATAAAAATTATTGATCAGTGTACTGGTCAACACTCATTTTCTGGTTAATGATATTACACCAATTTTAGGGTAAGTTTGTGGTGCTGATTCTGAATATGTCATCGATTTTGCTTGACTGGCTCTAGTTTTTAATAAATTTGGTATCCCACTGAAAGGCGTAAAAGATATGAAAATATATATTGATTAGGTAGGGCTAACTTACAAATCACATTGAAATTATTTTCTAGATCATGCAAAAGTCAAATCATGTAATATATACTAGCACTTAATGCTATATAATAACAGATTAACATAGTAAGATCATTCAGTTACCACTAATTACTGCATATGGAAATGTTGTTTGTATGACTTTCTTCTATGTTGGTCATCAGCAGTTTTATTGAGTGAGCAGAGGGAATAGATACATATTGGTTACCAGTGTGTGATAAGGCACATTTCAGCCTTCTGATGGAGCTGTCTGTAAACAGCCGCCAATCTCCTGGTCTGTATTCAAGTCCCTTTCAAAGAAGTCCAGGGATGTTATTGTAGTATACAAGCTCTTCATCTTGGCCGAAGTAGGGAAGGAGTTCAACCTTTCTTGTCTGATAAGCTGTTATTTTAACTTCTTGTTGTAGTCAGTTCTTTTTCTTTTAGTCTGGATGCTAAAAGTTCAGATGCTTGCTCTGACAGACTGAGGTCACATATCAGATCATTGAGTTGTTCTTGGGAGAACTGCTGAGATGTTGAAATGCTTACTTCATATTCACTTCCATTACTATCACCTGTGTTACATCCTAAACCCTGAGTCTCTTCAACATCTGACAATGGAAGGTCAGGCAGTATTGTAAATACTGGTATGGGAATGTCTTCAATGGGGTGGCACAGGTCTCCTTGCTGACTCCAAATCAAGATATTCCCACTTGATTTTCTTGTATCGATTGAAACCTTTCACATTTACCATACAGAAATAACAATCATTGTGGTGGTTTTTCAGCTCTCTCCACACCATAGGCACACCAAAGTTTAAAGTTTTCCTTTGCCTATTTTTCCACTGTCGTAAACATTCGAAAACAGGTTTTGCAGATCATATGAGGAACCCAAGACTTGTCTTGTTCTCCAAGTGCCACTCCAAAATAAGCAAGATAAGCTTGTTTTACAATATCTGTGATTTTTTCTTTGTTTTTGCAAAGACTATTTGCCACAAATGTAACAAAATGCATTTGGATTGCTTAAGCAGACTCTTTGTGAAGAACTCATGTTTATCGTGAAAAAATAACAAAATAAAGGTTACGATATTGTCATGTGGTTGTTGTTGATACATCTCCTTTCATTAAATATTAAATTGTTTAAAAATAAAATTCTAGTCTTTATTAAAATAATCTGTATATACATATACATGTTTTTCTTTTTTTTTTCTTTAACAAACCTGACCATATCCCACCGAGGCAGGGTGGCCCAAAAAGAAAAACGAATGTTTCTCATTTTAAATTTAGTAATTTATACAGGAGAAGGGGTTACTAGCCCCTTGCTCCCGGCATTTTAGTCACCTCTTACAACACACACGGCTTACGGAGGAAGAATTCTGTTCCACTTCCCCATGGAGATAACAGGAAATAAACAAGAACAAGAACTAGTGAGAAAATAGAAGAAAACCCAGAGGGGTGTGTATGTATATGCTTGTATATGCATATGTATATGCGGGGTAGGGGTCATCCTCGAAAGGGTTGGAGAGAGGGGGTAAAAGGAGGTTTTGTGGGCGAGGGGCTTGGACTTTCAGCAAGCGTGCGTGAGCGTGTTAGATAGGAGTGAATGGAGACGAATGATACTTGGGACCTGACGATCTGTTGGAGTGTGAGCAGGGTAATATTTAGTGAAGGGATTCAGGGAAACCGGTTATTTTCATATAGTCGGACTTGAGTCCCGGAAATGGGAAGTACAATGCCTGCACTTTAAAGGAGGGGTTTGGGATATTGGCAGTTTGGAGGGATATGTTGTGTATCTTTATACGTATATGCTTCTAAACTGTTGTACTCTGAGCACCTCTGCAAAAACAGTGATAATGTGTGAGTGTGGTGAAAGTGTTGAATGATGATGAAAGTATTTTCCTTTTGGGGATTTTCTTTCTTTTTTGGGTCACCCTGCCTCAGTGGGAGATGGCTGACTTGTTGAAAAAAAAAAAAATGTATGTGTAGTGTGACCTATGTGTAAGAAGTAGTAGCAAAACGTACCTGAAATCTTGCATGTTTATGAGACAGAAAAATGGACACCAGCAATCCTACCATCATGTAAAACAATTACAGGCTTTCGTTTTACACTCACTTGGCAGGACGGTAGTACCTCCCTGGGTGGTTGCTGTCTACCAACCTACTACCTACAATGTATACATGTGTTATGGCTAAATTCCCTGTTAATTGAGGGTAGGTATGTAATATCTCACAAACTAGAGCCAATTTGAAAAATCTACTGCCATTTTCGAATTCAGCAACCCCAAGATACCCTAAATTCCTTCAAATATCTTTAGCAGTGACCTTTTTTTTTCTATGCTGCAGAGAATATAGAGAATATATGTGGAACAAGAGAAAAAGAGTAATTTTTTACACCTAGAAGACAAGCTGTTGAGTAATTATTTTTATAAACAACTATTAATTTTAAATGATCAAAATTCTGAATTTTGTTATTAAGTAAGAAATTTTGAATTTCATTTCAGAAAATATCTCTAATATAGACTTCTCCAGTTAAGAGCAAATGCTTTCCTAATTTCCATAATTATTTAGAATGACTTAGGAAAATTTGAATTTTCTGTTTATAAGTGATATTCTCTTATTGTGGTTGAACTAAAAGTGAGTTGTCCAATTTCTGTTATTTAGAATTTTCTATCATTTGATCTCCCTCCTCCTCTCCCCTCCCTCCCCTCCTCCCTCCCTCTCCCCCTCCCCCCCTCCTCTCCTTCCTTCCTTCCTTCCTTCCTTCCTTCCTTCCTTCCTTCCTTCCTTCCTTCCTTCCTTCCTTCCTTCCTTCCTTCCTTCCTTCCTTCCTTCCTTCCTTCCTTCCTTCTGTCCTTCCTTCTGTCCTTCCTTCTGTCCTTCCTTCTGTCCTTCCTTCTGTCCTTCCTTCCTTCCTTCCTTCTGGTATCCTGGGCATTGCTTTTGGTCTCAAACTCCTCAAAACCATGAAATTGATCTTCACTGACACTTCCATCTGTGTTAGAGCATCACTTGGGAAGAGAAGAGTCCCAGATTTGCTGGGGAGTCACATATTTCTTACCGCTAGGCATGCTGAAAAAGGACAACGGAAATGGCATTCCTACAATGCACCACTGGCTCCCTAATTTTTTTTATATGGTGCACACTGACCATGGAGACCCATTCTCTCACATGTGGGCCTACCAGCTTTCTCCTGCTTGATTTGAAGCCGCTAGAATTTATGCGTATAGATACGTCAGAAACAGTGGCACGTAAGACGTATTTATACGGCATAAACAGTCAAAGGGTTAACCCTTTGACTCTTTCAGGCCCCTTTCTGAAAATGTCATTCTATGTCGCTCAATTTTTGAAAAAAAAAATTATTTTTTTCTTATGAAATGATAGAGAATCTTTTCCCGATGGTAATGACACCAAAAGTTCAAAATTTGGTCGAAAACTCATGGAATTATGCTCCCGCGAAGTTAGCGGTCTCGGCGACATGTGCGTATTGGCGATTTCGCCGACTTTGAGCCCTATTTTCAGCCAATTCCATTGTTCCAGTTGACCAAACTGATAGCTATTTCTTTAGAACTCCATTTTATCTATCAGCTGAGTACAAGAAACCTCCCATTTACTAATTTGGACTACCCAATATGGTGGTCAGAAATTGGCAATTTGGCCAATTTCACGCAAACTAAAAAAGTTGCCAATTTCAAAATAGGGTCCAGAATAAACAAGGTAGACATTCGTGGCACTAAAATAACATGTCCTCTGTTCATTAGTCACATCTCTAGGCCCCTCTTATGTTATTATTGCTTTCTATTTTGATTTTTTATTCATACAAAAAAATACAAAATTTACTGTTACGCAGACTACTGCATTATTGTAAAAATGGTATATAAATAATTCAGTGCACTAATGAAAGAATATTAGACTCCCCAGTTGACGTGTATTGGACGTGTGGTGTGATTTATTTACTCCTGAACATTGGTAAAAATCGAACATTTCCGCTACTTTGAGCTCAGTTTCAAGGTCGTTTTCATCGTCAAAGTAATGAAAATCATCTCTATTTCTGTAATATGTTTTCCATTTTATCACCTAAGACCATGAAAACGCGAATACAACGATAAATACTATACGAAAATACACCTCAAAGTCGGCGTTTTATTAAAAAAAACGATCAGATTTTTTTTTTCTCATTACGCAATGTGTGCTGCAGGATTTTTTTTATGTGGTGCACACTGACCACACAGACCCATTCTCTCACATGTGGGCCTACCAGCTTTCTCCCACTTGATTTGAAGCCGCTAGAATTTTTTTTTTTTTTTTTCAACAAGTTGGTCGTCTCCCACCGAGGCAGGGTGACCCAAAAAAGAAAGAAAATCCCCAAAAAGAAAATACTTTCATCATCATTCAACACTTTCACCACACTCACACATTATCACTGCTTTTGCAGAGGTGTTCAGAAATACAACAGTTTAGAAGCATATACATATAAAGATACACAACATATCCCTCCAAACTGCCAATATCCCAAACCCCTCCTTTAAAGTGCAGGCATTGTACTTCCCATTTCCAGGACTCAAGTCCGACTACAAGAAAATAACCGGTTTCCCTGAATCCCTTCACTAAATATTACCCTGCTCACACTCCAACAGATCGTCAGGTCCCAAGTATCATTCGTCTCCATTCACTCCTATCTAACACGCTCATGCACGCTTGCTGGAAGTCCAAGCCCCTCGCCCACAAAACCTCCTTTACCCCCTCTTTCCAACCCTTTCGAGGACGACCCCTACCCCTCTTTCCTTCCCCTATAGATTTATATGCTTTCCATGTCATTCTACTTTGATCCATTCTCTCTAAATGACCAAACCACCTCAACAACCCCTCTTCTGCCCTCTGACTAATGCTTTTATTAACTCCACACCTTCTCCTAATTTCCACACTCTGAATTTTCTGCATAATATTTACACCACACATTGCCCTTAGACAGGACATCTCCACTGCCTCCAACCGTCTCCTCGCTGCTGCATTTACCACCCAAGCTTCACATCCATATAAGAGTGTTGGTACTACTATACTTTCATACATTCCCTTCTTTGCCTCCATAGATAACGTTTTTTGACTCCACATATACCTCAACGCACCACTCACCTTTTTTCCCTCATCAATTCTATGATTAACCTCATCCTTCATAAATCCATCCGCCGAACACGTCAACTCCCAAGTATCTGAAAACATTCACTAGAATTATTGAGTATATATACGTCAGAAACATTGGCTCGTAAGACATATTTATACGTCGAAAACAGTCAAAGGGTTAATGACAATGCCTTGTCCCATTTTAGACAAATCTTAAATAGACGCCAGTAACATAGCTCTCCGAGAGAATTTTTTGAGCAACAGGGGTCCAGTGACTCTCAATCTGGTCTTAGTGCTATTAAAAAACAAAGGAAAGTAACCCCGGATAAGGACTCGATACCTAAAGTCTTTATGGAAGGGGATTCTCCTTCCAAACAATAGTAATTTCTCCTCCTCCTCCCCTCCTCCCATCTTCCATACACCAACAAGTCTTCAATAAAGGTAAGTGTGATGTTATTATTGCTTTATATTGATTTGTCATTCTTTTCTGTATGTAAATCTATATTTAATCTCTAAAAAAATGATTTGTTAATACTTTTGGTTATCTGGAGCAGATTAATTGGATTTACATTATTTCTTATGGGGAAAATGGTTTTGGTTTTCGTGAATTTTGGCTTTCGGCAGACTCTCTGGAACAGATTAGTCATGAAAACCAAGGGTCTACTGTATTACATTAATATAAACATTTTCATTAATCCAGCTATGATATTTAAATGTCGTAGTATATAACGTGTGGGTGGGGTGGCCTGGCCTGGCCTGACCTGGCTGGCTACCGTATCTCCCACACCTGACTTCTTACAATAAATACTACTCACCTCTCATCCTACATTAAGATAAGGTAAGTACTGATTGTACTGTGTGTGTATTTTACTTTTTATTGTTTTTAGTTCCTAGTTCTATTGCTAACTTAATATATGTTAGTGTAAACTTGTTATCTGGCATTTATTTGCATTTATAAGTGGGGAAAAAAATAGTGTTCTACTTTCCAGCAATGTTCGCTTTCCAGCAGTAGCCTGGAATCTAACCTGCCATATAAGTGGGGCCCTACTGTATGTTCATGAGAGTCTCCTGAAAAAAAATACAGTATATTCATGGGAGTACCCTGAAACAAAATATATTCATGTTGTTTGGAAATGAGAGGTACATTTACCTTAATCTCTGTTTAAAAGATTAAAGTATTCTTGATGTTAACATACAAATGAATTGTTAAATTAATATTGGGTGTGCAGCTAACTGATAGGCTTAAACTTCATCAACTACTTCTAGCTCAGTACTTCACTTACTCGAAAAGAACATCATATCTGTATTCTTCTTAAAGCTTCTTCTTCACCTTTCAACAAACTGGCTGTATCCCACCGAAGCAGGGTGGCTCAAAAAGAATAACAAAATTTTCTCTTTAACTTTAGTAATGTATACAGGAGAAGAGGTTACTAGCCCCTTGCTCCTGGCATGTTAGTCACCTCCTACAACACGCATGGCTTACGGAGGAAGAATTCTGTTCCACTTCCCCATGGAGATATGAGGAAATAAATGAGAACAAGAACTAGTAAGAAAATAGAAGAAAACCCAGAGGAGAGTGTGTATATATATGCTTGTACATGCATGTGTAGTGTGACCTAAGTGTAAGTAGAAGTAGCAAGACGTACCTGCAATCATGTGTGTTTATGAGACAGAAAAAAAGACACCAACAATCCTACCATCATGTAAAACAATTACAGGCTTCCATTTTACACTCGCTTGGCAGGATGGTAGTACCTTCCAGGGCGGTTGCTGTCTATCAACCTACTACCTAGTCTTAAATCATGCTTTTAAAACTGGTTATTAACTAGTTTGGGATATTTTCTGTTTGGAGGAACATTGGAACTGTCATATCTGCACACTTCTGGCAAGACATTGATAATGTGAATGATGGTGAAAGTGTTTCTTTTTCGGGTTACCCTACCTCAGTGGGAGACGGCCAGTGTGTTAAAAAAAAAAAAGAGATTTATGTGAAATTCATTCATTGTTTGTTAAGGGCAGCAGGCTGCCTGTAAGAACTTTAATTAACCAAAAGAAGTTCCATTAGAAATTGTTTCAGAGAAATTCTTTAAGCACATTTTTATTTATTTTTTTTTTTAGTTTTTGTCTTCATAAATTAAAAAACAAATAATCTGGCAAGTAATTCTACATTTTTGGCCCCTTTTATTTATTTGCATCAAATTTTTCCAGAGGTTTATGTGAACACAAATATCGAAGAAGTATTTGTTTCCTGGAAGTGTCTTAAGTCAGCACACCATTTTCATTGTAGTGTTTTAAAGATGTGGAGTGAACAGTAGTAAATATTTGACATTAATATTTGGTAGGTTTATGTAGTGAGTTCATAGTAGTAGTTTGTGAAGAGAAATATATTGGTCAACCATATCAGAATTTTTAACATTAATAAAAAGTCTAATAGGATACTCAGTTCTTTCAAAGGCTGTGTTAACTGTATCACAACTTTTTATGATTGCATCAGTACTTTTCTGGCAAGAGGTAAGTACATTATCTTTGGCTAAGTATGAGTACAGCTGCTTATAGATCACCTTTGCAAATTTTTTTGATAGTAATGTTAGATTAAATATTGGTCTGTAATTATTAATGTTGGTTTGATCACTTTTGTAGATGGGTGTTATCTTGGCTCTTTTGAGACAGTCTGGAATGGTGTGTTTTTCAAGTGATTTGTTGAAAGCATTGAGAGAGATGGAAATAAAACTCGAAGGAGGGGTTACTGAGGTGGTTTGGGCATTTATAGAGGATGAAGAGGGATAAGATGATGAAGAGGGTGTATAGCTCTGTGGTGAGAGGTAGGAGGGGTAGAGGTCATCCCAGGAATGACTAAAGGGAGGAGGTAAAGCAGACTGAGTTTTAGGATCTTAAGAATAAAAAATAAAAAAGGCTCGTGTGAGCATGTTAGATAGGAGTAAATGAAGACAAGTACAGATTTTTTTTAATGGACATGCTGGATTGTGAGCAAGGTAACATCAAACAAAACAGGAAGACTAATTAGCCAGACTTTTGTCCTGTAGGTGGGAAGGGCGATTCATGCACTCTGAAGGATGTTTGGGCATGTTGCAGTTGGGGGTAATCTGAATTTTGATGTCACCACATTTCTGATAAAACAGCAAGTGAATGAACAGTAATAAATATGTTTCCTCTTTGGGTCACCCTACCTTGGTAGGAGACTACCGTAAAAAAAAAATGCAGCTTTCTTGTAGATAATGGTGGGTATTTCTTCTGTGCTTCCACAGCTGATTTTTTTTGTGATACATAAAATGACTGATGCTATTTCAGAGGTTGTGGTAGGAGACGAGAAGAATGAGTTATGGTAAGTATCGATCAGATAGCTACTAATGTTATGGGCCTCTGGGATGCTGTTTGCAAGACTAGTTCCTAATGTAGAGAAGAAATTAAGTTTATTCACATTATCAATAGTTGAGAGGGAGGGTTTATTTTTAGGTTGAATTTATTTTTTTTTTTACTCTAGAATTTGGGAGAAGATTTTCCAAGTTAAATCTGTTAAAATACAGTAATGGAGCAGTTTTCATTGGATACTCTAATTATTCTTGTGAGAGAAAACCTAGGCTACTCTTCATTATCATGTTTCTTATAAGCTGATCTCAAGAAGATTTTTTTTTTTTTTTTGAGTCATGGGTTGTTTAGTTTGTTTATGGGCATTTGTGTGGATTTTTTATTGGGTAGTGTATATAGTAGTAATGTTTCTTGAAATTTCAAAATTGATATTTTAAACTTTGCTTCCTAGGGTAACATGAGTATTACTTGAAATTTTTTCCAACAGAATGACAATAATGGGATTGAAGCTAATGATCTACCTGGTGTAAAAACTATTAAAGTGGTCACACTGCTGGACATCTTGAAAACTCCTCTCATGTGTTGCAGAATGTTCTCCATGTTTTTCATATGGTAAGATCTGATTTATATCAGTTCTTGTTTATATATGTTTGGTAAAATTTGCTGGTTATTGTAAATTTACTAATATGAATTCTTAACATTTGAGTTTTCAGCTTCCATAGCAATGCAGTAAACTTTATAACATATAGGATACATTCCTCAAATGTAGTGCCTTAAAAAAACAAGGTAAAAAATATACCAGAAAATTAGGACTGTTCCAGACACCTCCGGATTTGACAAACAATTGCTTTTTAACCCGTAAACGGTCCAAACGTATATATATGTTTTTACCGCTAGTGCCCCAAACGTATATATACGTTTTATTTTTCCTGCCTTCAAATTTGGCATGATTGGCCGGAGATGCCTTGTCAGCATAGAATGGGTCCTAACACTCAGTGTGCATGGTATTAAAAAAATCTGGGACCACTTAGTACCTTGTGGGAGTACCAGTTCAAATGAGCACCAGCTAGGCAAACAACCAGCAAACACCGGGGATTCACGATTTCAATAGTATTAACTCTCCATTTTAAGGGGAAAAGGGGATTTTGACCCTCGTTTAGTGCCTTTGATGGATGTGGCCATAAGTGGTTGATGAAATATCAAAAAAATCTCGATAATAACCCTGTGAAACTTTTTGGGCAACCCCCTTTTTCAGAATGTTTTTAAAAGTTTTGCCCAAAAGAAAAACAATTCGTGTATGGCTGGCGGCTGGGGGGTGGCGGGTGTCTGGCTGTCGGCTGTTGTCGTTGTCTGTCTGTCTGTCTGCTGTCGCTGTCTTTTCTGTCTTTTTCACGGGTACACATAAATAGGGGAAACGTGTGTAATTATTGGAAAACCCCAAAAAAAAACCCAGACAAAGTGCTATACCTGCTTGAAGATGTGAGTAAAGGTATGCCCCCAGTTTTTGGGGCCCTCTTGAGTAGGGGGAGTGGATGACGATGACGGGGAAAACTTGATACACAACATTAGACAACATTTTGGTACCACGAAAACAAAGCAATCCCTGCTCACAAAAGTCACCTCAAATTTTTTTTATCAAGTGTTTTAACTGCCCCCTGAGTATGTCATCAAACATCGGTCTTATCTGTTATCTCTTATCACGTCACTGTCAGGGGTGGACTTTTTTTTCATGTTTAAAGGGCAACTTTTATTATGTATTATTTTTTATAAGAACATAAAAAGGGGAACACTGCACAGGCCTGTTGGCCCATACGGGCAGGCCCTTTTACAATCCATCCCACTAACAAAACATTTGCCCAACCTTTTTTCAATCTACCCAAGAATAAGCCTGTTTAACATAAAGAACATTAGAACAAAGAATGTGGGAACACTGCAAAAACCCTACGGGCCCCATATGAGGCAGGTCCTTATCAAAACGACCCTCCTAGACTACCCAAAAAATAACTCCCGACCCCATGACACCAATAAAACCCAGCCCCTCCCCTCAAAATTTTGCCAGCCTTCTTAAACTAACCAAAAAGTCCTAGCCCTATCACCCACTGGGAAAGTTTCCAGCATCTACAACTCTGTTAAAAAACCCAGTACTTACCTATGTCCTTTCAAAATCAAAATTTTCCAATTAATCCATTATTTCTGGTTCTTCCCGGGTTCGACACCCTCTGTACTTTTTTAACAGTATTTTTAACCCTTGGGGGTTTTTCGTCGAAGTACGTCTTACCGTGGGGTTTTTTGTCGTACTGTCGAAAAAAATTTTAAACGGCCTCAAATCTCACGGGAAAAGGTGATAACCTAATTGGAGAATGGGTCGTGTGGTGGGTTGCCATTTAGGAAAAAAATCTGGACCCAGTGGTGCATTGTGGGAAAAAAAAGTACCCCAATTTCCACCGTCCCCTGTGGTAAGAAGTTCCTCACTCCTCGGCAAATTGGGACACTTTTGTTCCCCATGACAGTTCTAATACAGAGGAAGGAAGTGAAGAGAGTTTCAAGGTTTGGTGAGTTTTGACCGAAACTAATGACCTAATAGGTAAAAGGAGGGAAAAACCCGACAACCCACAGCCTTCCCCCCTCTGGGGCGGGGCGCGTTCAGTTGTACCAAACAAAGAGAAACTCCCATTTCCCAAAATCCAACTCAGATTGGGGGCATTGGGATGTAAAGATAGTGATTATGAATACAACTCTTCAAACTTTTTCCCAAAAATGGAGGAGGGGAGGAGGGGGAGGCAGAGGAGGAAGCAAGAGGAGGAGGAGGGAAAGGAGGGGGGCAAGGGAGGGAGGGAGAGGGGGGAGGAGGAGGAGGGGGAGGGGGAAGAAGAAAAGAGGAGGAAGGGGAGGAGGGGAAAAAAGAGGAGGAGGGGAAGAGGAAAGGAGGAGGAGGGAAAAAGAGAATACGTAAATGATAAAATAAACATAATAATAAAACATAATAATAATAAACATAATAATAATAATAATAATAATAATAATAAAATAATAATAAAATAGGTAAAAATTTAATAAAAGTAATAATAAATGTTACCCATGCAGTAACAAGATAAGGGGGGAAAAACATCGATAAGGCTGACGTTTAGAGGGGAAATGAGGGGAAAGCGATGCCAAAAGATGAGATGAACATCGCCCTCCCCCTTTTTTTTTGTGGAAAACTAACATTTCGTCTGTTATTTGCCTGTCTGTCAAGCTCCCCTTTTATCCTTAGCTCTCTGTCTCAAGACCACAAGACGGTCACACTTTTACCACTTTCAAGCAGAGTATACACTTTTTCTGGGGTTTTTTGGGTTTTTCCAGGGAATTTATACCATGTATTCTTTTTTTTATTTTACCGTGAGACGAGATAGACGACAGTAGAATGAGGGAAAAGATAATTTTAGAAGGGGGAGGGGAAGCAGCATCCGACCCCCCTTGTTTTTTACAGGTGAGGGGGAAAGGTAATGAGCCAAAATGCATTTGACAGCTGCGGACTCCTTTTAATTACCTATGGGCAAGGAGGAGAAGGATAGGGGGAAAGGAAAAAGGAAGAGGAGGAGGAGGAAGAGGGGGAGGGGGAAGAGGAAGAAGGAAGGGAAAAAGTAGGGGGAAGAGGAATAAGAGGAAGGGAAAGGGGGAAGAGGAATAGACGAGGGAAAATTTGGGGGGAAAGAGGGAAAGGAAAAAAGAGGAGGGGAGGAAGAGTGGGGGAAAGGAAGAAGAGGAGGAGGGAAAGGAGGGGAGGAAGAGGAAGAGTAGGAGGAAAAAGAGGGGAAAGGGAAAAGTATGAGGAAAAGAGTGGGGGAAAAGGAGGAAAGGAAGAAAGGAGGAGGGGGGTGGAACACTATACACGGTATGGTAACTAACATTTCTGTCTGTCTATTTGTCTGTCTGTCGTCCCTGTCTACTGTCTATCCGTCTAGCTCTCTGTCTCCGAGAGCCACAAGACTGTGTATCATTTTTTTTCTCCATCTTTAAGCAGAGTATAGCACTTTGTCTGGATTTCTTGGGGTTTTCCTAGGTAATTTTTATATGTATACTTTTTTTTATGTTAATGAACAAGAAAGATAGACGATAGAAAGAGAGAGACGATTGAAAGAGATAGAATGAGGGGAGAAAGATAAAACACCATTGTGATGACACCCTTTTCAGATTCCCAAACTGCAGAACTAAAGGAATATGTTTAGTGACTGTATATTGGTAAATATATTATAGAAAAATAATAATAAACAATGTTTTGTATTGTTTTTTTTTGTAAACAAATTTTGTAAACAATATATTGTAATTATTTTGGTGCTTTTTGTGTTGTATACAACGAGTGTTATATTAATTTCCCTTACTTTTGGGCTCACAGGCCACATAAATTATGTAAAAAATAAAATAGTGAAAAAAAAAACAAAACCTTCAAAAACAAGTAAACTAAAGTTTCCGGGTGAGCGGGAGTCGCCGCGTTGCCATACGCGGTCATTTTCTGCAAACTTTAGCATCCATATCTCCGAAGTATTGATGGTAAATTTTTTTTGTTTTCCTATAATGTTTAGAAAAAAAAAAATCTATTTTTTTTATAAGAAAAAATAATTTTTTTTTTTTTTTTTGAAATTTGGCCGACCCTGAGAAAAGAGTTTCAGGAGGGCCTGTCGACCCCCAAAAGGGGTTAAAATCTCCCTTTTTTATGCCTGCATCCACTTTTACACTTCAATATTCTCCCCTCATTCTTTCGCCTCTCCAGAGAGTGGAGATTTAAGGCTTTTTTAAAAAAATTTCTTTAACGGGGGGTTTCCCTTTCAGTAAATCATTTTAGTCCTTCTCTTGTTGTTCTCTAATAGTCAAAGTATCCTGTATAAGGGGACCAAAACTGAGCAGCTAATCAAATGGGCCCACTGTGATGTATAAGCTGTAAAATAATTTTGGACTTCTGTTTCTTATCTTTTTGAGATAAAACCAATAATTTGTTGGCCCTTGTTTTGCACACTAAGGGATGCTGTCTTGTTTAGATTTCTGCTTACCATGATCCCAAGCTTTTTAATTCTGTATGATCAAAACTTACTTCACCAGATTTTACTTCGAGGGTTATTTTCATTACCAAGGGAAAGTACCTTACACTTATCCACATTGAACTTCATCTGCCATTTTTCAGACCAAGACATTAATTTGTCCAAATCGTCCTGGAGTTCATTGATATCCTCCTCAGAGTGAATTATACGGCCTATCTTTGTATCATCAGCAAACTTACTCATGTCACTCGTAATCCCTTCATCAAGGTCATTAATGTAAATTATGAACATTAAAATGGTATAAAATACCGACAGGTTGTTAGGTAAGACACATATGCAACAGTTAGGTATCTTTATTTCGAAACGTTTCGCCTACACAGTAGGCTTCTTCAGTCGAGTACAGAAAAGTTGATAGAAGCAGAAGATACTTGAAGACGATGTAATCAGTCCATCACCCTTAAAGTTTTGAGGTGGTCAGTCCCTCAGTCTGGAGAAGAGCATTGTTCTATGGAATGAAACAATTGTTTCAATTCCATGGAATGAAACAATTGTTTCATTCCATGGAACAATGCTCTTCTCCAGACTGAGGGACTGACC